CCAACAACGATCAATAACACAGTTCCCTCTGCAACGTAAACAAAGCTCTGACATCATGCATCAACACCCTCGTGACATCACTGAGACACAGCTGACGGACCTCCCACAGTGTCTCTGGCAGGATGCAGAGGGAGAAGCACAGAGAGACATTTACCAGAAGGTGTGGCACCAGATGGTATCATAGGGCCAGCAGACAACACCATTTTCCCCTTCCTCTCGGCGGCACCTTTTACAAGACACCCACACACACACACTGGAGTGCTTGACGTCAAAGAACCTGGTGCAGGGTGACGCAGCCCGACTATATATGGGCGCCCTATCCCAAGACAGTTAATCATAAAAAACCTATTACAGCATCAGCACTTTTATGGGATACTACTGCGTTTTGGCCCCTGGAAAAGATGAATGGTTTAAGGTGCAAAGAGGATGGATGCTTAAGAAAGAGTTGTCGAGGGCAGGAACTGGAGATAATTGTTCAGGTGACCATTGGATGTATAAAGGGTTAACTCAAGTGTTTTATAGTGTTTCCTGCCCAAGTTACTGAGAGGTAAAACAAAACATGACTTAAGTGTTTCAGGTGAGGATGTTGTGGTGTGTGGGCGGTGCTGAAGAAAGCCACCACAATCACCACACCACAACACCACTTACCACACTCTACGACACCACTAACCACCACACCACTACCACCCACCCCACCAACCACACCACTAACCACCACACCACTAACCACAACCACACCACTTACCACAACCACACCACTAACCACCACACCACACCACTAACCACCACACCACTTACCATAGGTTTCTCGTTCAGCTGGAGCCGCTCTAGGTCACCTTGCTCAAAGAACTCGTCAGCCACCAGTTTAGCCGTCTTGTGTTGTACCTCCCACGGTTTAGCGATGGCTGATACGTCACATGCCGTCATCATAACCCACACAACACTGCCGAGGGAGCTTAGGTCAGCCAGGGGGTCACTTTAGGTATATTAGGGTCAATTAGGTCACAACAGGTACATTGGGTCAACAAATAAATTAGGGTCACAGCAGGTACATTAGGTCAACAAATAAATTAGGTCACACAACAAAAGTCACAGCAGGTACATTGGGTCAACAATTAAATTAGGTCACAGCAGGTATGCACAGATTGGTGTAATATTCATAGTGAGGTTAATTAAGAGGAAATATTTTTAGAAGAATAAGAGAAAATGTTGCAGTGTTTTGTTGAACTAGGAAAAAGGTTTACAGCTCTGGGGGAGGGGCAGAGTCTGTTGCTGTTGATGTGTGTGTGTGTGGTGTGTGTGTGTGTAAAACTGTGTCATGTACATATATAATAATAAGTGTTTCTTGACTGTTCATTATTAAGGTGATTACAGTATATGGAAAAAATCTCCTTATATACACACACACACACACACACACACACACACACACACACACACACACACACACACACACACACACACACACACACACACACACACACACACACACACACACACACACACACGTATCTGAACACCTGACCAAACTCTACGGGTTCTCCTCTCCAATTTACGAGTTAGGTTATGACATTAGGTTAGGTTACAAGATCACTTAAGACACAGACTAACACAATCAGGAGAGGATGTTAATAATTCTAAAAGTTTAAAAGTCTTGGTGAACATGACTGAAGGACTCATGTTTTGGGGATGAGGATCTAAGTCTTAGGGAGCAAAGAAGAATGAAGGTCAGTGAGAGGTAAAGAATATTGGAACATGATGGACTGAAGATAAAAATGTACAGGGTTTACGTTAGTGTCTTAAAAAACTGTAACAGGGGCTAAGTAATTAAGTAAGTAAGTAAGTAAGTAAGTAAGTAAGTAAGTAAGTAAGTGAGTGAGTGAGTGAGTGAGTGAGTGAGTGATAGTGTAATTAGCTGCAGTTATAATTCTTCTGTATTGTTCAGTAACATGAGACAAGGCTGATAATAAGAGAAGAGTGTGCCAGGTAATGTAAGGTACTGCCAGGTATTATAGTACTGCCAGGTAATGTCAGGTACTGCCAGGTGTCAGGTACTGCCAGGTAATGTAAGGTACTGCCAGGTAATGTCAGGTACTGCCAGGTAATGTCAGGTACCATTGCTCGTTTCTTCGCTCTGCCAGTCGAACTCGCCGTTGTCCGAGAGCTCAAGGAAAGTGTTCTTCTTCTTAAAGTACATGGCCATGTCTGTACTGAGGATATGGTTCTCTACCAGCGTCATCACCCGGCGGTAGTCCTCTGCTGCCAGTGACTGTAACAACCATCACCCTTGTTTAGTGACTAACAACCATCACCCTTGTTTAGTGACTGTAACAAACATCACCCTTGTTTAGTGACTAACAACCATCACCCTTGTTTAGTGACTGTAACAACCATCACCCTTGTTTAGTGACTAACAACACCCTTGTTTAGTGATAAACACCTTGTTTAGTGACTAACAACCATCACCCTTGTTTAGTGACTGTAACAACCATCACCCTTGTTTAGTGACTAACTACCATCACCCTTGTTTAGTGGCTGTAACAACCATCACCCTTGTTTAGTGACTAACAACCATCACCCTTGTTTAGTGACTGTAACAACCATCACCCTTGTTTAGTGACTAACAACCATCACCCTTGTTTAGTGACTGTAAAACCATCACCCTTCTTAATGACTGTTAGAGGAGAACGGGTGAAACAAGAAACATCTTAATGACCTGACCTGACCTGACCTGACCATATATTATTACGGTATTTAACATCTGGTAATATTAGTGAAAATAATAATCAGGTAAGATACTAATAATTATATGACTTTAGGGCTGAAAATATAACATAATTATGAATATTATTAATAGTAACTAATGCTCAATTTAAGAACATAATTATTAGTTCGTATAGACAGTGAGAGACACTTTACTTGGTATTGACTTACACTTTTAACTAATGGTGTAAGATGAGATATTTAACTCGAGAGAACATTTTGAGATACCAGAGAGATGCAGGTTTAGTTTAAGTGTTTATTCGTCTCTCTCTCTCTCTCTCACCTGGAAAATGTTGTTAGAGTCTTGAGAGAGGATCATAACACACTGGTCGAAGTGGTGGTGTTCCATGGTGGAGGTGGAGTAGAGGATGGCCAAGGGGCTGTCGGTCTTGGTCTGGAAGCTGTTGTTAGTGCCGCGATGATCCAGGTCATGGCATAGACAGGCCACCAGCAGCCCCAGCATCTGTAGGGAGGGGAGGGAGGGAGCTTAGCTGATGGAGGGAGTGGAGGGGTTGATCAGTGTTGTGGAGGGTAGTGGAAGACGAAGGAGAAGAGAAAAACAGAGAAAATGAGATAAAGAGAGAAAGAAGAGAAACAAGGAAGAAAAATAAAGTTACAAAGAGAGAAATAAGGAAAGCTAAAAAGAGAGAGAGAGAGAGAGAGAGAGAGAGAGAGAGAGAGAGAGAGAGAGAGGAGAGAGTGTGTGTGTGTGTGTGTGAGTGTGTGTGAGTGTGAGACTTACCTCAAGTTCGGTCATAAACTGTTCCATCTTGCCAGTCTTCAGCATGGCAAACATGGTCTGGGCGACAGTCACAGCGTGGCGCCAGTTGTGGTACTTCACGGGTCGGTAATTCTTCTTCACACTCAACAGCCACCGACATAACACCTGCAATTCGTGTCATTAATTACACACCTGGTTAACAACACCTGCAATACGTGTCATTAATTACACACCTGGTTAACAAGGCCTGTAATACGTGTACTGGTTAACAACACCTGCAACACGTGTCATGTCTTATACACCTGATGAACACCTGTTATGAATAATGGGTGTTAATAAGGCGATGCTACCTGTAAAGACACCTACACACACGTGCAGACATCCATACATACATAGTCACCCACACACCCACACCCACTCCCACACCTCTTTACCCATGACCACACAACACACCTATCTACCCACAACACACCTACCCACCCACACCCACCCCCCTTCCACCCACCAGCCCGCCCATCCGCCCACCTCGTAAGATATGTGGAAGCAGTTGAGGAGGTCGAGATCAATGAACATCCTGACGACACTCTTACACGTCTCCTCGTCCGTCAACACACAGTCGCAGAAGTCGAAGCTGTGGAGAAGAAGTCCTGTTTGAGAACGTCCTAAACCGTAAAATCTAACCTAGCTTAATCTAACCTAATAAAATCTAACCTAATCTAGCCTAACCTGACCTGACCTGACCTAACATAACCTAACCTAGCTTAATCTAACCTAATAAAATCAAACCTAATCTAGCCTAACCTGACCTAACCTAACCTATTCTACTCTAACCTAAAAATACATAACCAAACCTAATCTCCCCTAACCTATCCAAACGTAACCTAATGTAACCAATCCTTACAAAACCTAACCTAACCTAACCAAACCAAACCTAACCTAACCCCTACAGTGACAACAGGAAGAACTTACTTGTAGAGGTCAAAGTCTAGTGAGGTTGGTATATCTGCTGTCCTCAGGTGCTCCGTGTCACTCTGGGATGCCGTGGCGTGGTAACTGAGACACTCTAGCGCCACCTGTTGCCGTGCCATCAACCGACCTGACGATACGAACCTCTGTGTTAAAATGTGTGGATAAGGACAGCCATAGGTGTACGTGTCTGGGGGTATGTGCATGTGTCAGTAGTATGTGTATGTGTCAGTAGTATGTGTATGTGTCAGTGGTATGTGTATATGTCAGTAGTATGTGTATATGTCAGTAGTATGTGTATGTGTGAGTAGTATGTGTATGTGTCAGTGGTATGTGTATGTGTCAGTGGTATGTGTATGTGTCAGTGGTATGTGTATATGTCAGTAGTATGTGTATATGTCAGTAGTATGTGTATGTGTCAGTAGTATGTGCATGTGTCAGTAGTATGTGCATGTGTCAGTAGTATGTGTATATGTCAGTAGTATGTGTATGTGTCAGTGAGTATGTGTATGTGTCAGTAGTATGTGTATGTGTCAGTAGTATGTGTATGTGTCAGTGGTATGTGTATGTGTCAGTAGTATGTGTATGTGTCAGTAGTATGTGTATGTGTCAGTAGTATGTGTATGTGTCAGTAGTATGTGTATGTGTCAGTAGTATGTGTATGTGTCAGTAGTATGTGTATGTGTCAGTAGTATGTGTATGTGTCAGTAGTATGTGTATGTGTCAGTAGTATGTGTATGTGTCAGTAGTATGTATGTGTCAGTAGTATGTGTGTATGTGTCAGTAGTATGTGTGTGTGTGTCGGTGGGTGTGTGTGTGTGTCAGTGTGGTATGTGTGTGTGTCAGTGGTATGTGTATGTGTCAGTGGTGTGTATGTGTCAGTGGTATGTGTACGTGTCTGGGGGTATGTGCATGTGTCAGTAGTATGTGTATGTGTCAGTAGTATGTGTATGTGTCAGTGGTATGTGTATATGTCAGTAGTATGTGTATATGTCAGTAGTATGTGTATGTGTCAGTAGTATGTGTATGTGTCAGTAGTATGTGTATGTGTCAGTGGTATGTGTATGTGTCAGTGGTATGTGTATATGTCAGTAGTATGTGTATATGTCAGTAGTATGTGTATGTGTCAGTAGTATGTGCATGTGTCAGTAGTATGTGCATGTGTCAGTAGTATGTGTATATGTCAGTAGTATGTGTATGTGTCAGTAGTATGTGTATATGTCAGTAGTATGTGTATGTGTCAGTGGTATGTGTATGTGTCAGTAGTATGTGTATGTGTCAGTAGTATGTGTATGTGTCAGTGGTATGTGTATATGTCAGTAGTATGTGTATGTGTCAGTGGTATGTGTATGTGGCAGTGGTATGTGTATGTGTACCTCTGATGTTCAATAGGACCCTAATATGCACTGGAACACAGGTAAACAAAGTCAATTAAAATCTTACAGTGGTCAATACAGATAAGAATCAATTAAAATCTTACAGTGGTCAATACAGATAAGAGTCAATTAATATCCTACAGTGTTCAATAGGACTCTAAGAGACACTCACAAGCCTTCTCGTACACCTGAGTGTTCTGGATGCCAAGACCACAGAAGATCGCAAAGGCTTCAAAGGTGTTGATGTCGTGGTCGGTAAAGTGAAGACCGCTCTCCTGTAGGTGTGAGGGAGAGAGTGAGAGATGGAGGGAGGGTAAGGGGGAGGGAGGGATGAAAGGGGGAGGTAGGAAGGGAGGGAGGGCTTAATGCATGGTATTTACAAAGTTTTATCCTAAATATTATTCCAATCCTTAAACATTAGAGTGTAAAGCCACATAAACATTGAAAACATTAACTATAAACATTCCCTCATAATTGCTGATATGGAACAGATCAAGTCACAATCATTAAACAGAGACGATGGTGTGGAAGCGTTAAGGCAAATTCTCTTATCATAATTCCGGATAAAAAAGCGAAAAAGAGATCAGATTTACTCATTAGGGAAGGATGCTATGGGAAGGGGGAGGAAGGGAGGGAAGGGAGGGAAGGAGGAAGGGAGGAAGGGAAGGGACTGATTGTGGTGCTGTGGGGGAGAGGGAAGGTAAAGGGAAAGGGTTAAGGGAGAGGAGGTAGAGGGATGGTTGTACTGTGAAGGAAGGTTGATGGAAGGGATTGTGTAGGGAATTGTGTTGGGGAAAAAAGGTAAATAGAATCCCCCTAACTCATGGTCGTAGGGGGGAAGATTGGGTAGTCATGGGGTTAAGCCATCGTACTCAAGAGGGTTAAGCCATCGTACTCAAGAGGGTTACAGTCATCGTACTCACAGGGATAAAACTATACTCAAGAGGTTAAAATACCTTACTTTACTGGGCTAATTCATTGTACTCAAGGGTTTGACATCATACTTAATGGACAAAACCGAATTCAGTGAGATAGATAGATAGATAGATAGAGAACCTTGTTTATCATCTGAGCCACGCCAAGGATCTTTCTGGAGGAGTTGAAAATGGGGATGGTAAGCACACTGTGGGTAACAAGGCCGCCGTCTTGTAGTGGACCACCGAGCCATTCCACCACATTGTTGATGTTGACTGTCTGTAACGCAAGGGTAGGCTTTAATACAACACAATACACCTTTACACATGCTACTACCTGCTCACCTGAACATTAACCATGCTTATTTACTTCACCTTATGATTAAACACTAAAACGCTAACCTAACCTAACCTAACCTAACCAAACCTAACCAAACCTAACCTAACCAAACTTAACTAAACCTAATCTAACCCTTTTTTTAAATACTCTTACATTGACACACATATAATACCACCCCCTCCTCCCACACACACACCCACACACACACCCACCCACACCCACACACACACCCACACACACAGGAGGACTTGGTGGGTCCTCAAACACAAGATCGATGGAATAATTGAACCTAACACTCAGCTTTAACACTCAGCCACACGACCACGCTGCTATGAAAGGTATATGACACTTATGACACATGACACTTATGACACAGATATATATTTGGCACTTATGGCAGATATACGACACTTAAGACAGGGATATATGACACTTATGGCAGGGGATATGACACTTATGGCAGGGGATATGACACTTATGACAGATATATGACATTTATGACAGATATATGACATTTATGACAGATATATGACATTTATGACAGATATATGACACTTATGACAGATATATGACATTTATAACAGATATATGACACTTATGACAGATATATGACATTTATGACAGATATATGACACTTATGACACACTTTCATTCATTACTTGGCATTCATTCACGCGTCTTTACTCAATTCTTACATTATTTTCTCTTCTTTCATTTTGTTGATTCCTTCATTCATAAGTGATTGAAATATGAATAATTATTTAATTTTTCGTCTTGATTTTATCGTAAATTTTTGTCCAAAATGGCGTCACTTATTTACATTTTCCCTCCTCCTCTCCTCTCTCTTTCTCCTCTCTCCTCTTCTTGCCCTATACTCTCTTCCTCTTCCTCCCTTTTCTCTCTTCTCTCTCTCCTCCTATTCTTTCTCCTCCCTTTTCCAGTCCTCTTCTTCCCCCTCTCTCTCTCCTTTTCTTCTCTTCTTCCCCCTCTCTTTTCTCCTCTTCTTCCTCCCCCTTTCTCTCTCTATCTCTCCCTCCCCCCTCCTCACTCACACTCCCTCCCTTCATTCTTTCACAATTTTAAATGAAGTATTCTTTCTGACTACATTTGTCTGTTTCACTGTCTGTCTGTCTGTCTGTCTGTCTGTCTGTCTGTCTGTTTATGTCTTTTTAAATCTGTCTGTCTGTCTGTCTGTGCTTATGTATGTCTGTATGTCCTGAATCAATACATTTTACTCAAGGCTCTCTAAGTTAACTCTCTCTCTCTCTCTCTCTCTCTCTCTCTCTCTCTCTCTCTCTCTCTCTCTCTCTCTCTCTCAGAATTACGTGAAAGTTTATATAAGATTTTGGATAAATATAAAACTTTTTATCATTATTCTATTCATATTTTTTCTTGGCCTGGCCCACATGGACGAACTTTTAACACACACACACACCCACACACACACACACACACACACACACACACACATGAATAATATACAGGTATGTAAGTTTAAGTAAAAATAAACACACACACACAGACGGACAGACGGACAGACAGACAGACAGACAGACAGACGGACAGACAGACAGACGGACAGACAGACAGACAGACAGACAGACAGACAAGATATGAGTGTAAACAATACCCTGCCCCATAGTTGATGCAGATAAGTAAATAATAATAATAATAATAATAATAATAATAATAATAAAAATAATAATAATAATAATAATAATAATAATAATAATAATAATAATAATAACAACAATAATAATAATAATAATAATAATAATAATAATAATAATAATAATAATGTTTTTTATTTAATTTGAAGAGGGAATGATATTATAATTAGTTAACCAGATTTTTAAGCAAACGACACTGATATATACCTGTACTCAACATTCATATGTACTCAACACTAACATGTACTCAACACTACCATGTACTCAACACTACCATGTACTCAACACTACCATGTACTCAACACTACCATGTACTCAACACTACCATATACTCAACACTCACATGTACTCAACACTAACATGTACTCAACACTACCATGTACTCAACACTAACCTGGCCCGTCGAGCAGACATAGTTAGCGAGTCGAGCGTGGATGGAGGCAGCCAACTGGGCCGATGAAGGTCTGGTAATTCGACACTCTCCTTCTTGTGACTGCAGCTCAAAGGCCATGTGCACCGTCATCGTCTCCGGCTGTAGGTGAGAGGGGTGGTGAGTGGGAGAGGTGGTGGTGAGAGGGTGAGTGGTGATGAGTGGGTAGAATGGTGGTGAGTGGGTAGAGTGGTGGTGAGAGGGTGAGTGATGGTGAGTGGGAGAGTGGTGATGAGAGGGTGAGTGATGGTGAGTGGGTAGTGGTGGTGAGGGGGTGAGTGATGGTGAGTGATGGTGAGTGGGTAGTGGTGGTGAGTGATGGTGAGTGGGAGAGTGGTGATGAGAGGGAGAGTGGTGATGAGAGGGTGAGTGGTGATGAGTGGGTAGAGTGGTGGTGAGAGGGTGAGTGGTGATGAAACCGGGAGAGAGAGAGAGAGAGAGAGAGAGAGAGACTTATAAAAAGTAGAAATTCCTGTTTAACTTCAAGGAGTAGATGAGGCCTTAATCTACCTTCAAGGAGTAGATGAGGCCTTAATCTACCTTCAAGGAGTAGATGAGGCCTTAATCTACCTTCAAGGAGTAGAGGAGGCCTTAATCTACCTTCAAGGAGTAGAGGAGGCCTTAATCTACCTTCAAGGAGTAGAGGAGGCTTTAATCTACCTTCAAGGAGTAGAGGAGGCCTTAATCTACCTTCAAGGAGTAGAGGAGGCCTTAATCTACCTTCAAGGAGTAGAGGAGGCCTTAATCTACCTTCAAGGAGTAGGAGGCGTAATCTACCTTCAAAGAGATGGGGGAGGGACTTAATCTGCCTTCTAAAGGGAGTGGGGAGGCGTGAAATCTGCTAAGGGAGTAGAGGAGGCCTTAATCCTGCCTTCAGGGAGTAGATGAGCCTTAATCTACCTTCAGGGGTAGAGGAGGCCCAGCAATCTGCCTTCAAGGGAGTAGGGAGGCCTTAATCTGCACCTTCAAAGGGTGGGAGGCCTTGAAATCTGCCTTCAGGAGTAGAGGAGGCCTTAATCTCTTCAAGGAGTAGAGGCCTTAATCTACCTTCAAGGAGTAGATGAAGCCTTAATCTGCCTTCAAAGAATGAGAGGCTGTAATCCTGCAGCTAAAAGGGTAGGAGGCAGCAATCTACAGCTTCAAGGAGTGGGAGGCCTTAATCTACCTTCAAGGAGTGAGGCTGTAATCTACCTTCAAGGAGTAGAGGAGGCAATCTACAGCCTTCAAGAATTGGGAGGCGTAATCTGCCTTCAAAAGGAGTGAGGGCGTAATCTGCCTTCAGGAGGTAGGGGAGGCCTTAATCTACCTTCAAGGGAGTAGATGAAGCCTTAATCTACCTTCAAGGAGTAGAGGAGGCCTTAATCTACCTTCAAGGAGTAGAGGAGGCCTTAATCTACCTTCAAGGAGTAGAGGAGGCCTTAATCTACCTTCAAGGAGTAGAGGAGGCCTTAATCTACCTTCAAAGAGTAGAGGAGGCTAGACTTACCGGGATTGCCATTAGCTTCTCCGGGGTCGGGGCGATGGTCTGGAATACAGAGACGAGGAGATAATCAAGCAACCTACCTGAGCCTTGATGACAGATAATTAGTGTTAGGTAGTGGTGGTAGTAGCGGAACTGATGGTTGTAGTAGTGGTAGTAGTGATGGTGGTAATTAATTAGTAGCGGAACTGATGGTTGTAGTAGTGGTAGTAGTGATGGTGGTAATTAGGTGGTAGTAGCGGAACTGATGGTTGTAGTAGTGGTAGTAGTGATGGTGGTAGTGGTAATGGTGGTGGTAGTGGCGGAACGATGGTTGTAGTAGTGGTAGTAGTGATGGTGGTAGTGGTGGTAGTAGCGGAACTGATGGTTGTAGTAGTGGTAGTAGTGATGGTGAAGTAGTGGTGGTAGTAGCCGGAACTGATGGTTGTAGTAGTGGTAGTAGTGATGGTGGTAGTGGTAATGGTGGTGGTAGTAGCGGAACTGATGGTTGTAGTAGTGGTAGTAGTGATGGTGGTAGTGGTGGTAGTAGCGGAACTGATGGTTGTAGTAGTGGTAGTAGTGATGGTGGTAGTGGTGGTAGTAGCGAACTGATGGTTGTAATGGTGGTAGTGATGAGGTGGTAGTGGTGGTAGTAGAGAACTGATGGTTGTAGTAGTGGTAATAGTGATAGTGGTAGTGGTGGTAATGGCAGAACGATGGTTGTAGTGGTGGTAATGTGATAGTGGTAGTAATTAGTAGCGGAACTGATGGTTGTAGTAGTGGTAGTAGTGATGGTGGTAGTGGTGGTAGTAGCGGAACTGATGGTTGTAGTAGTGGTAGTAGTGATGGTGGTAGTGGTGGTAGTACGGAACGATGGTTGTGAGTGGTAATAGTGATGGTGGTAGTGGTGGTATTAGCGGAACTGATGGTTGTAGTAGTGGTAGTAATGATGGTGGTAGTGGTAATGGTGGTGGTAGTAGCGGAACTGATGGTTGTAGTAGTGGTAGTAGTGATGGTGGTAGTGGTGGTAGTAGCGGAACTGATGGTTGTAGTAGTGGGTAGTAGTGATGGTGGTAGTGTTAATAATTGGTGGTAGTAGCGGAACTGATGGTTGTAGTTGTAGTAGTAGTGATGGTGGTAGTGGTAGTGGTGGTAGTAGCGGAACTGATGGTTGTAGTTGTAGTAGTGGTGGTGGTGGTTACGGAACTGATGGTTGTAGTAGTGATAGTGGTGGTGGTGGTTGCGGAAGTTATGGTGGTAGTAGTAGTAGTAGTGATGGTGGTATCAGAAGTAGTGGTAGTGGTGGTGGTAATAGTAGTAGTGTTAGTGGTGGCAGTGGTGGAACTGATGGTGTTACAATAATAATTAGTAGCACCAGTAATAGTATGTTATACAATTCAGCATTTAACACACAGCTATTTTCACATTACTTAACCTAATGTGAAGAGGAAGGAGAGAGAGAGAGAGAGAGAGAGAGAGAGAGAGAGAGAGAGAGATAACTCACCTGCCTTATCACCAGAGTCTCGGCAGGTTGGGATGTATCCAGGCTTGGTGTCTCCACTGTAGATCCTGTCGTCTGAAACATAAATCCCCCTTTAGTTATTTTCACCCTTTAATGGTCTCCCCTTAGCCACCTACCCCTTAATAGGGCTTATTTAATGACCATACCTGCGTGACATCCCTTAGTTATTTACCTGCTCTTTAGAATTCACCCCTTTTGTTACCTGTCTGTAAATAACGCGTGATTTTACTAACACAGATACACAATGTTTGTTTTTTTTTCAATATAAGTAAGATGATGTTAAATATATTACAAAAATTATTAAAAAAATAAAGAATGGTATAGATGACCCGTTCGTGGTAATTCTCCTACGTTGTTAACCGTGTCAGTCACTTGGTATCCACATTGTTTGAGTCTCCCATATAAACCCTTTCATAGAAAACTTACAAATATGGTGTTCACGAGTGGGACCTAAATTATTGGATTTCCCTTGACATCAAAGAGATTTACCCTATGCGCTCATACATAATGCATATAAAATAACATGAATACATCCACATAATTATACATGGAAGCGTACATATGTATATTCATTTACAGGTTGTTGTACATTAATATAAACATCAATGAACGTAATACTAGTCAATCATACACAAAGCTGTTTATAAAAAAGTGACATTATTTAGTAAGTAGTTCCCAAATTCATGAACGCTACACAATTATGCTAGAGTTTGAGTGCGAGTGAATGCATACGTTGAGTGCATTACGTTGAGTGTGCGTGTGTTGAGTGTGCGTGTTACCTGGGGGTCGAGAAGGTAGACGGAGCACCTCTCACACTTCAACAACTCTCGGGCTTCTGTCATGATCTTCGTCACTAGGCGGTCCAATGACGTCTGTTCCTCGAAGATGCCACGAGCCAGTTGAAGTAGCAGCTGAGGAAGGGCGAGTCAGGTCAGCTCAGGTCAGGTCAGGTCAGTAGGTAAGAAAAAAATAGGGTGTCTAATCTTCAGGTGTATAGCAGATAAATTAACCTGTCTTCATATTAACCCTGAGATAACACATACCAATTAACCCGGAGATAGCACACATACCCTATAATGACCTCTAATGGCCTACGATGACCTCTAATGGCCTACGATGACCTCTAATAACCTACGTGACCTCTAATAGCTTACAATGACCTATAATAATCTACAATGACATCTAATGACTCACAATGACCACTAATTGACTACAATGACCTCCAATGACCCAAGATCCCCTCTAATGACCTACAATGACCCAAGATCCCCTCTAATGACCTACAATGACCCAAGATCCCCTCTAATGACCTACAATGACCCAAGATCCCCTCTAATGACCTACAATGACTGAATCCTCTAATGACCTACAATGACCCAAGATCCCCTCTAATGATGACCTACAATGACCAGATCCCTCTAATGACCTCTAATGACCCAAGATCCTCTAGCCTGACCTACAATGAGCCCAGATCCTCTAATGACTACAATGACCCAGTCCTCTAATGACCTACAATGACCCAAGATCCCCTCTAATGACCTACAATGACCCAAGATCCCTCTAATGACCTACAATGACCCAAGATCCTCTAACCTACAATGACCCAAGATCCCCTCTAATGACCTACAATGACCCAAAGATCCACACTCTATTGACCTACAATGACCCAAGATCCCCTCTAATGACTCTATTTAAGATCCCCTCTAATGACCTACAATGACCCAAGATCCCTCTAATGACCTACAGGCCCAAAAGATCCTCTAATGACCTACAATGACCCCAAGATCCTCTGACCTACAATGACCCAAGAAGCCCCTCTAATGACCTAAAAATGACCCAGATCCCCTCATGTGACCTACAATGACCCAAGATCCCTCTAATGACCTACAATGACCCCAGATCCCTCTAATGACCTACAACCCAAGATCCTCTATTGACCTACAATGACCCAAGATCCCCTCTAATGACCTGTTGACCCAAAGATCCCCTCTAATGACCTAAAATGACCCAAGATCCCCTCTAATGACCTACAATGACCCAGATCCTTTAATGACCTACAATGACCCAAGATCCCCTCTAATGACCTACAATGACCCAAGATCCCCTCTAATGACCTACAATGACCCAAGATCCCCTCTAATGACCTACAATGACCCCTGGGAAAGGCACTCACCTGGTTTCTCTTGTACTCCCTCACCGACATATCAAACAGCTGTGCATTCTGAATTCCAATCCCGCAGAAGGTCAGGTATCGCCGGAACACCTGTTGAGAGGGGTAGAACAGGTGTTGAGAGGGGTAGAACAGGTGTTGAGAGAGGTAGAACAGGTGTTGAGGGGAACAGAATGTTGAGAGGGGTAGAACAGGTGTTGAGAGGGGTAGAACAGGTGTTGAGAGAGGTAGAACAGGTGTTGAGAGGGATAGAACAGGTGTTGACTCTGATATAACAGGTGTTGAGTGACAAGACAGGTGCTGGAGGCTGATTTTTCTCTTGTCAGGTAGTATCGTGTGTTGTTAACAGAATGTAATGAGATAAGGAAGGTCATTATCTTACCTTGTCAACAGGTAGAGAGAGAGAGAGAGAGAGAGAGAGAGTAATAATTCTCCTCTGTCTATAAAGGTGTGAGACAATCTTGGTGACCTTGTATGACCTGCACGTGACCCCTCCTTCCTTTGACCTTGATAATTATTGCAGTAGAAGGGGATTACATGAAAATTAGACACCCTAACTTATTTCACCTGATGATTTAACACCCTAACGCTAACCTGGTGGATTTAGGTTAAGTTAAGTTGGGTTGGGTTAGGTTAAGTTAGGTTAGATTAAATTAAGTTAGATTAGGGTGTTTATTCATCAGGTTAAATAAACTCGGGTGCTTAAACTACACATGATCATTTTAAGCCAAACTTCACAAGTGACCTCCAGATGACCCCTAAGATGACCCCTAAGTGACCTCCAGAAGACCACAAGTGACCCCAGGTGACCCCCAAATAATCCCCAAGATGACCTCCAGATGACCTCCAGATGTCCTCTAACTAACCTCTACATCTTGCTTGGTAAACTCATTGGTGCCATTCTTCTTGTTAATGATCTCTGCTACGCCAATCACCTCCCCCTCGTAGTTACACACCGGCATACACAACACACTCATGGTTCGATACCCAGTGCGTCGGTCAATGCTGGCGTCAAACCTCGGGTCCTGGGGAAGAGGGGGGTGGGGGGGGGGTTTGTTGGGGAGAGGGGGGGTTAGATACAGTCAAACATTATAACGCATTAAGGTACAATACATCAGTGGAAAATACAATATAATACAGTATAGTACATGTGAATATTATTAAAAAAAATACAGTGGAACATATACGGTACAGAATACAATGAAATACAGCATAGTAGAATGGAATACAATAAAATACAGCATAGTAGAATGGAATACAGTAAAATAAAGCACAATAGAATGGAATACAATACACTACAGTACACTACAGGTAAATAGTCTTGCTGAAATACAATAACCAACCTCTCGTCACTACCTCAGCATCGTACATTCAACACAGGTAACTTGACGGTGGCTTGACTCTGAAGACGTTACAGTATTAACCCCAAGAACGTCTTTATTTACCGCCTTACTAAGTTATACAGTCGAGTCATCTAAGTTTTAATTAGTTAGATATGAAATTAGACACTGGGATAACAATGATGGCTGGTGTGTGTGTGGTGGGGGGGGTGTGGGTGTGTGTGTGTGTGTGTGTGTGTGTGTGTGTGTGTGTGTGTGTGTGTGTGTGTGTGTGTGTGTCTCGATACTGATCATAAACATTGGGCTTTTATCTCTCTCAGACTCAGCCGCCGCCAACAGCCTTCATTGACGCCGACAACAACCTTCAACTCTCCTGCCACCACCACCACCACTATCACTAGAGCCGCCCTAACACGCCAACATAATCGTCTCACTCTTGAGGATCATAGCTGGGACTGACGTGGACACTGACACCAATTTTGATCAAAGAGTTTTTTTCTGTCCAGTGTTCATGACGCCTCCTCCCCCCCTCCCCACACCTCACCTCACCTCACCTCACCTCTCTCCTCCTACCTCTAACTTCCCTCTACGCACCTCAAGACATCCTCCCAGCCTTCCCTCTCCCCTCCCACACCTCCTGAGCATATCCTCCCACACCACACCACACACCACTCACCATACACACCACACCTCTCACCACCTTCCTCCACGTCTCTCCCCCCCCCCCTCCTGCGTGTCACTGAACGATACTCCCAAGATATTTAAGGTACTAGACCAGGTTCTTTCTCCCCATGAGCTTTACTTTGACACCCTTTTCTAGTCTTGTCAACACCATACTGTTGACACGCCATACACACTATCCATACACACACTATACATATATAATTGCCATAACATACATACATACATATACACAGCATATACCGACTGGGGGACAGCACAGACAGACAGACAGACAGAGACAGACAGGCGACACAGGTGGTTTTATATGTTAAGGTACGTTTGAATACTGTTGGTGTTATCATAGAAACTGCATCAATCTCTCTCTCCTCACTTTCTCTCCTGTTCATCTATTTCTCTCATCTATCCTTCTTCCTCCCTCCCTCTCCTTCTCTTCTTCCTCCTTCCTCCCTCTTCTCCCACCTCCCTTTCTCTTTCCTTCCCTTCCTCTTCCTTTCCATATTCTACCTCCTCCCCTTCCCTCCTCCGACCTTCACTATCTCTCTTCCTCCTCCCCCCCTTCTTTCCATCTCTTCCTCCCCCCTCTTCCACCCCTCCCCCTTCACCCCTCCCCACCCTCCCCCTTCACCTCCTTTCTTGCCACCCCTCCCCCTTCACCCCTACCCCCTTCACCTCCCCTTCACCTCACTTCACCCCTTCACCTAACCCTTACCCCTCCCCCCCTTCACCCGTCTCAAGGATGAACGTGTACGAAACCAAATTACCAAAATGAAACCTGATTGAGCAATTGATTAGTTGCGTAATATCTGTTTTCGATACTCTCAGAGTTGTCTGTCTGTCTGTATGTCTGTCTGTCTTACTGTCTATGAGTTGGCACCAGCTGGGGTATGTTTGGCTCGGAGGTCTGTTTGTCTGTCTGTCTGTCTGTCTTGGTGGATATTTATTACTCTTTCCCTGTCTGTCTATTTTTCTGTTTACTTCCTTCACTCTCTTTCTGTCTGTCTGTCTGTCTCGTCCCTATTCTGTCTGTCTGTCTGTCTCGTTACATTTCTGTCTGTCTGTATCGTCCCTATTCTGTCTACATATCTAAATTTATCTCTAATTCTCCGTCTATCTGTCTCTCTACCTGTCCTTCCCTCACCTCACTATTTATCTCCATTTATCCTTACTCCTCATTTTCCACAACAAAACACTCCTCATCCCCCCCCACCCCACTACTAGCTGTGATCACCTGTAGTAATAAAACACCTGTCCAGCTACATGTTTCACTCCCTCGGTAAAACGACTTATGAGCCATCCTGTACATTACTCTCGTTAAAGCGACTTATGCGTCACCCTGTATATGACACTTCACACCTAAATCACAACCGGTTTGTTGCTCTATATAGATAAAACTGACACTCTCACCCCCAGCTGCCTCGCAAACCTTTTCGGGAAGGTTTGTAGTTGCCATAAATTTACATATTGCAGAAAATCGTAAAATTAAATGCACATCTGGAAAAATTTTCTCTGATCTGTTTCATGTACCGAGTGCTGAGAGAGAGAAAGAGAGAGAGAGAGAGAGAGAGAGAGAGAGAGAGAGAGAGAGCCTCGTTACCTGTTGCCAGCTCTCCAGGTAAGGATATGCCCATGACAGGTAAATGTTGACGTACCTGGTAAGCGTCCTTGATGTTGATGACCTCCTTGGTGCTGGCAACGTGGCCGACGATGCCCACACCCCATGGCAGTAGGATCTCCTTCTCGGCAGCATTAGACAGCGCCTCCTCCAGGACTGTCAGGGAGGAAGGAGCCCTCTTAGTGGGTTCTGTTTGTTCCAGTGTAAGCGAATTTAGTATCAGCTGTAATCTCCAATGTAAATAAACCTACGATCAGCTGTTGTCACCATGTAAATAGGCCTACGATCAGCTGTTATCATATGTAAACAAACCTACAATCAGCTGTTACCACACTGTCCATACAACAATATGCAGAGGTGCCCTACAGCTCTTAATATTGATAAACAAACACAATCCTATCGTTTCTGGCCCTGGAGGAAGGAAGGAGGGAAGGAGGGAGGGAAGGAAGGAAGGAAGGAAGGAAGGAAGGAAGAAGGTGCTATCTGAATCCAGGTCCCCACACTGTATTTTAACAACCTATAACTACTATAATTGACTGGATCGATAATGGCTCTCTATAACTGCTTCCCAAAGTTAGCTATCACTCAGTATTGATTCCAAATATAATATCACTTGTCACTATTGATAAAACGTAAAAAGTTATCTATTGTTATCTATTTTACTGTGATATTGATCGTAATTCCCCTATAGTAAACACGATAAGAATACAGTAATGATAACAGGGAGAGGTAAGGATAATCTACGGTGAGTTGATACCCTGTTATGTTAATCTGACCCCAGGTAAGAATTCTTGTCACAGTTACCGAGATATTTAGCTTAGGGAGATTAACTTAAGGGGATTATGAAGCAAGATTAACATAAAGAGGATTATGAAGCAAGATTAATTAGTGTTGAGGTACGCATTGTTACCTGATGGGAATGAATGACTGTGTGTTTGTTTACTATGTCAGGACTTTATGCCGATAGTGAATAAAATAGTGTATAAATAATCATCTGAGAAAATTGAGTCTCTGTCACACACACACACACACACACACACACACACACACACACACCGTAGAGTACCTGTATCAACCGTGACGTCAAAGAGCTTGGCTACGAGGTACCGGTTGTGTCGTGGCCCCTGGGTAAGGAAGAGGGAGGCTCGGTCGGCGTGAGTGAGGTGGCCGACGTTCACCAGGATCTTGTGGCACAGTGTGTCTATGTCCAGCTCTGTGCTGATGTCCCGGATTAGCTCCATGAACAGTTCCGGCTCCGTCAGTCGTTCCACCTGCTCGATATATGAGTTAATGAGATCACCTGTAGATTGGAACTCCGGTTGATTTGGTCTCATTACTGATTACCCTAACGCTAACGTAATCTAACCTAACGCTAAGCTAACCTAAACTGACGCTATCTTAACCTAACCTAATCTAACGCTAAGCTAACCTAAACTAACGCTATCTTAACCTAACCTAACCTAACGCTAAGCTAACCTAAACTAACGCTATCTTAACCTAATCTAACCTAACGCTAACGTAATCTAACCTAACCTGTGACCAACCTAGAGCTCAGGTAAGAATCTCCTTAATTGCGTCACCTGTAACAACTCAACTACCTCATAAACGTAACCATACCCAAAGTAACTACTACAGTACTATTATTTGGCCACAACAGATTAAATATGTAGAAAATAAATACCTTAACATATTTTTGCTGTGAGTTAATGACGAGAATTACAAAACACAATAATAAACTAAAATGCATTTAATGATACTTTCCCTTAGATTAATTAACTTTACCTAACATTCATACACCAAAGAATTAATCAAACTTTTCTCAATCTTAAGATAAACCAGAAAAAAAAATCTCACAGACTAAAAATAAACTTGACTGGAATAATGTAAAAAAAAAAAAAAAAAAAAAAAAAATCTAAGTCAATTATCAGTGACCAACCACCAGATGGACTTTACCTTCTTGGACTTGAGACTCTTGGGGGAGAGCCAGGAGCTGATGGAGTTCCTTCTGCTGGAGTAGGAGTAGTTAGCCACCAGGTGTTGGTTGTCTGTAGGCGTGCCAGAGGTCGGGGTATCCTTGTTATCAGATTCCCAAGAGCGTTCCAGTTGGTCTGTCTGTAAGAGGCTGCGGCCCCCGCGTAGGTTCCTGAATGCCTGAAGAAGGAGAAGAAGGAGAAGGAGGAGGAGGAGGTGTTCATAACAGATGGGTATAAAAGGTATTGCTATGATAAATAAAGAGATTATATGCTCAGTCAAATGATCAATCACCACTACCACCACTATCACCATCCCCACTACCACCACTATCACCACCCCCACCATACAAAAAAAAAGACCACTACCACCATTACCATTACTACAACCACCACCACCACATTCACAACCACCACTACCACCACACCTCATCATCTCAGCAACAACCTCCACTACCACCATCCCTACCACAACCACCACTATCACCACACCTCATCATCTCAGCAACAACCTCCACTACCACCATCCCTACCACTATCACCACTACCACCATCCCTACCACTATCCCCACCACCACCACCACCACCACTACTTACGGCCATGGGTGTTCTCTCCCTCAGCCAACGCTCGACGACGTGTGGGTGTCGATCTAAGAAGGCCTCGACCTGTTCCTCCTGCAGGTCGGGGCTCAGGCCGCGCTCACTAGGGGGAGACATTCCAGAGGAGAAGGTCGGGCTGGATGACCTTGGGCTTTGGGCTTCGTCTGTAGGGAGAAGAGACAGTTGTGAGATGGGGTCTGTGTGTCTGTTGTGAGATGAGGCTCTGGGGTCTGGGGTCTGTTGTGAGATGAGGCTCTGGGGTCTGGGGTCTGTTGTGAGATGAGGCTCTGGGGTCTGGGGTCTGTTGTGAGATGAGGTCTGGGGTCTGTAGGTCTGTTGTGAGATGAGGTCTGGGGTCTGTAGGTCTGTTGTGAGATGAGGTCTGTTGTCTGTAGGTCTGTTGTGAGATGGGGTCTGTTGTCTGTGTGTCTGTCTGCCGTCTATGTGTCTGTTGTTTGTGTCTGTGAGCCTCTTGTCCGCCGTTTGTTTATATTTACAGTAGTAAACTCTTATTTACAAACTGATTTACATTTAAGTTCGATTTACACATTGAATTCTGTAGTACTTGGCTGGATTTACATAGTTCCTTCTACAGCACCAGAACTGATTTACACAATGCTCTCTACAGTACAAAGATCGATTTACACAGTACCCTAGAATAAGTGACTGATTTACATAATAACTCTACAGCACCAGAACTGATTTACACAATGCTCTCTACAGTACCGGAACCGATTTACACAATGCTCTCTACAGCACCGGACTCAAATCACTGTAGCAAAATCATCCACTACGGGAGTCAGGCAGGTCTACAGTCAGTCAACCAAACCACTACAGTATTCAACACAATTCTGTAACTATTTTTCACGCTGTTACAAGCACGTGATTATGTAATTAATTTCGGCTTTAAAGGACTACCTGCAAATCGCATTAATTGGCATTGTTGAAATTCTTTGGTTTATTAATATTTCGGGTTTAGTTTTTTTTTTTATTATATGTAGGAAATTTTTATACGTGATTTATGGGATAGACTTTGTTTTTGTTTTAAGGATCACATGAAGATTAGACACTCATGTTTAGTTCACGTATTAAACATGCTAACCTAACCTGATCTAACTAATCTAACCTGACTTAATCTAACTAACCTAATCTAATCTAATCCAAGTAGCGTTAAATAAGACAAAAGCAAAACAAAAACACAGAAATAAGATAAAGAGAGAGATACTTGACGAGACGACTGGACATGACACTTGGCAGACTCGGAAACAAACCCACGAAAATGATCCTATAGAAATAATAATAATAATAATAATAATAATAATAATAATAATAATAATAATAATAATAATAATAATAATAATAATAATAATAAAGTATCACCATTCTATCTTGCTATACTGATACGCTTACATAAAATCAAGATACAGTATAATTACCTTTAGCTGAAAAAATCACGGAAGCGATATTCACTTAGCTATTAAAGAGGATAATATCTATTGACTAAAGGCGTGACTATCAAGCCCTACATTAAAAAAATACCTACTTGAGTGTATTAGCAATTTGCATATTAATGAGGGTCTTTTGGACGTGGTTAGTTCTGTACATAAGACGTAATTAACCTGTAATACCTGTTTTAAAAATGACTTCAAGGTAAATCAATATTTTCACTTATCTGATTAAAATGCCGTTTGATTTTTTTTTTCTTTTTTTTTGACGGTGAAATAAAGTCGTGTTTTATTTTGACCGTTTGATTGTTAGATGAGTGTATGTGTGTTAGGTGTTGTAAGAGGAGTACCTAGAGTGTGAGGTGAGTGTATCTTAGTAGTAGTTCGAGTGTGAGGTGAGTGTATCTTAGTAGTGTTCAGTGTCAGGTGAGTGTATCTTAGTAGTAGTTCGAGTGTCAGGTGAGTGTATCTTAGTAGTAGTTCAGTTGAGAACTATAATTCAGTGTGAGAAAGTATCTATATTTCGAGGTCAGGTGAGTGTATCTTAGTAGTAGTTCGAGTGTGAGGTGAGTGTATCTTAGTATTAGTTTGAGTGTGAGGTGAGTGTATCTTAGTAGTAGTTCGAGTGTCAGGTGAGTGTATCTTAGTAGTAGTTCGAGTGTCAGGTGAGTGTATCTTAGTAGTAGTTCGAGTGTGAGGTGAGTGTATCTTAGTAGTAGTTCGAGTGTCAGGTGAGTGTATCTTAGTAGTAGTTCGAGTGTGACAAAAACAAAAGAAGACCCTCTTAACCGGGGGGGGGGGGTGGGGGAGGAGGAGGGAGGGGGCGTTTCGAGTCTAAAGTAAACACGAGACACGACGCTGTCGAAAATTCCCCAATTTCTTGAGTTAGACCTTCAGTGGAGGTTGACCTTGGCTACATAGGGCAACAAGACTCCACAAGAACAAAAGTGTAAAGTTGATAGCAGAAAACACGATGACTTAACCACTTAACTACGATGACTTAACCCTTTAACTACAATGACTTAACCCCTTAACTACGATGACTTAACCCTTTAACTACGATGACTTAACCCTTTAACTACAATGACAACCCCTTAACTACAGTAACTTAACCCTTTAACTACAATGACAACCCCTTAACTACAGTAACTTAACCCTTTAGCCACAATAACTAAACACACCTGCTTGGAACTGCTTTTATATCTTCAGTTAACAACATATGAGGCTTTTATTGTCACTGTGAAGAGTTAATTATAAAAGCTTAGTCGAAAGGTTAACAACAAAAGGTGGAGAGGAAGAGCTTAGTGTAGAGACGGAAGAACTAACAACGATTTCGAGATTTAAAAAAAAAATAATGATGAAAAAAATATGACACGGAATGAGAAACTGAGACAAGTGGAAAATTAAATATATCTTTGTTCAGGAAATGGTAAGGTAGTGAGAGAGAGAGAGAGAGAGAGAGAGAGAGAGAGAGAGAGATAGAGAGAGAGAGAGAGAGAGAGAGAGAGAGAGAGAGAGAGAGAGAGAGATGGAATTTACGCGTAGTTAGACCACAAGAAGTATAAATGTTGGGGTAGAACACGAACACACACACACACACACACACACACACACACACACACACACACACACACATTACCAGGGGTCTTGTAAGACAATGAGGGCAGGGGAGGTGTTGAAGGCTGGAAGACGACAAACACGACGAGGAAATTACATCATTGGTGACTTATGCTGAGACTCGAGGTGTGTGTGTGTGTGTGTGTGTGTGTGTGTGTGTGTGTGTCAGTACAAGGACCAACTAAGCCCCAATAACAAACTACACATCACTGACCTGTATTGATGGAGCAGATGGGGAAGGAGATCTCGGGGTCACAGTCGTGGTGTGGGGAGGTCACCAGCACGGGAGGGGATCCTATTCCCTCCTGCACCACCTCCCGAGCCTCCGAGGGGGGTGACATCCTCGCTGCCTGCTGCTGCTGACACACCTGATAGTCCTCGTTCATGGCTATCACTCTGGGCCCGATCGATGAGGGTCCATTTGAGGAGGGACCGTTCGGGGATGGTTCAGCAGGTGAGGGCCCGTTCGGGGAAGGACCGGTCGGGGGGGTTCCATTCGAGGAGGGCTGAGTCGGTGAAGGCCCTGTTGGGGAGGGCGTGAGGCCCGAACACGGGGTGACCGGCAGGACATCGGTCTCCTCGTCAGGATGGCTTTCGGGACCTGAGTCATGGTCGAGGGAGTCGAGGTTGGTGTTGTCGGGGTTGTCGGGTGTGGCACAGAAGAACCGCGAGTCACACACGACGGTGGTGGCCGAGCTGGCCGTCGTCTCCCCGTCCTCGGCCAGGCTGTCAGGGTCCATTCCCATCTCGACGGAGTCCATCGCTTGGAGAGGACGCACCTGAGTCAGATTCTGGACGTTGACGCGGCCGTTGTGGTTGGCCGTCGTTGCGTCGGCCTGAGACGCCCGTGGGTTGTCCTCCACGGCTGCTATTGGGTTCGGGTGAGGGGGTTGGGGGGCCTGGTGGTGGGTAGGGGCGCCGTCCGTCTCATCCTGGCCCTCCATGCCGAGGGAAGGACGTCCAGCTGGCGTGCTGACATGCCCAAGACGTCATCCGCTCTGTTGCTGCCTCTCGCCCTCCCTCCCAACAACTCCCAGAGACATGGAAGCTACATCACGAGGACACCTCCGGCAGTCTTACACACACACACACACACACACAGCAAACGTTCCTTACTCTCACAACTTAAGTTACTCAACACTACGTTCCTCCAGCGTCTAAACACAATGTGAACGTACTACACTCAGACGTGTCCTAGGCAACACAACCTTTTCCTCATCCAGTGCGAGACGTCCTTCAACACTGTTCAATACTCTCCTCGCCTTCAGTTCCGTTACTCGTGTACCTGAATACCTCGTTCACCGTCACTAACTCACTGTTCACTCTTATCAGTCAGTATCGCTCCCTTGTGTAGTCACCATAAGCCGCCACTGCTTGTCACCAGAGCCTCTATCTGAAATAAAAGAAAACATGTTAACTTTTTCCTAAGGTATATTAATGTTAGTAACACATAATAAGTAAATCAATCTAAGAATAGTTATTTCCCTGAGTAATTAAATACCCTTACATATAAATACTTCTTAAAATAGAGAAAATGGACCTATCGATTAGCCTGACAGAGTCCAACATAACGACTGGGATTTGAAGCAAGTCTTAATGGGCCGCGGTCCTAATGGGGTCCACTTGTGATGCACCTCACCTCAGTCTACAAGATCCTCAGTATTAATGATTCCTAAAGGTTAAATTTGGTTAGGTTAAGTTAGGTCCTAAAGTGAGAGCCTCTGAAACCCCCCAGTGAGAGCCTCAGAACCCTCCCCAATGAGCCTAAGAACCCCGAGTAAGAGCCTCCGAACGCCCCCCCCCCTCCCCCAGTGAGAGCCTCTGAGAACACCATCCCCTCTCACACCATCTGCCACCACACTTGAGTACCGTCCTAACAGGTGGGTGAAGGCCAGGTACTGTACTCACCTGTAACTCCTGAGACAGACAGACAGACACACAGACAGACAGACTATAACCGTAATTACCACAATATATTCTTCACAGCTGTCACCCACACAACAGAGACAGACAGACAGACAGACAGAGCCCTGTATATCTGGCCTCGGTTGTATTTTAGTGGAGGAAGGTTTGTATCTGTCCCAGGTAAATATTGGTGCGGGGAGAGAAAAGATGAGAAGGTAATGGGTGTGGTGGTGGTGTGGTGGTGGTGGTGGTGGTGGTGGTGGTGGTGGTGGTGATGGTGGTGGTGGTGATGGTGGTGATGGTGATGGTGGTGGTGGTGGTGGTGGTGGCGGTGGTGGTGGTGATGGCATGTGCGATGGTGGTGTCACTGTTCACTGTGACGCTACACCAATTGGTTTACATTCTTGTCGGTCCAGAAGATTCTCCCTCTCCCTCTCCCCCACCCTCCTCCCCTCTCCCCCACCGCGGGCACACCCACAGGGATCCTCCGCCAATGTTGGGGAGACAAAGACTCACCTTCTGCTTCGTATATCACACGTCAACACCACACCAGACCTGAGTGTGTGTGTGTGTGAGTGTGAGAGTGTGAGTGTGTGTGTGTATGTGTGTGTGTGTGTGTGTGTGTGTGTGTTATATCTACGCCACCAAGTATACAAGGTAATAGTGACGTGTATGCTATGGTGACGTAATACACATACTCACCAATTACCTGCAGGAACGTATTTCACACCTTGAAACATGACTCATACGTAAATTTCATCAGCTGATTTCACGATATTTTCTGATTTTTACCGTATTTTGACAAGATCTTCCATAATATACAGTATATATACAATACCATATACATATATACTAAACACATATTGTACTTAAGCATAAAAAATAGTTGAAAAAATCACATCAAAACGAGACGAACAGGTAAAATTTCAATTAATTCTTCTCACACCTGGTTCCACGTATCATTTTAATTGAATCATTCTTCTCTACAGCGTTTTCATTATTATATTTAATTTCCTTTGTCCAGAAATACTGCTAATTAATTGTTATATGAGGAATTATTTATGTTTGTGTGTTAATTAGGTTTAGTAAAGGCGGGGTGTTAGTTATCTGTCATATTACAGGTATAAAAGTTTACCTGTGTACTAGTTACTCTCTCTCTCTCTCTCTCTCTCTCTCTCTCTCTCTTTCTCTCTCTCTCTCTCTCTCTCTCTCTCACTGTCCAGCGTTAATGACTGCAGTTTCCACATCAGGTGACAAAGTTAGGTGAATCCCTCTGTCAATCACAAAGTTAGGTGAATCCTCCCGTCAGTCAATCGACGCTCTCTCTCTCTCTCTCTCTCTCTCTCTCTCTCTCTCTCTCTGTGTGTTACTTTAGAGATTATTAAGTCAAATTAGGTCAGGTTAATAAATCTAGGGAGCCGGGGCGCCATATTACACTTATTGTCTATATTAAAAGAACAGACAGACAGACAGACAGACAGACAGACAGACAGACAAGACAGAGACAGACAGGCACACATCCCTCGCCGTCCCTATGTAATATTTTTATATATTTTGAAAGTTTTTAATCCATTTTAGGTAAAGTCTCCTTGCACCCCTCATCTCTCTTCCCTCTCATTCCTTTCTCCACTCCCTCTCATCCCTCTCTCCATTCCCCCTAGATCCCTCTCACTCCCTCTCTCCATTCCCCCCTTATCCCCCCCACTCCCTCTCTCCACCCCCTCCCTACATCTCCCCCTCCTTCACTTCCTCGTTCCTCTCGTCTCGTAATAAATGTTGAAAGTATTTTATGATCCTCTCGCTACACGTCCAGGCACACCCCTCGCTTAGTTGACTCGTGAGGGGTGGTGGGGGGTGGTGAGGGGTGGTGAGGGGTGGTGGGGGGTGGTGAGAGGTGGTGAGGAATGGTGAGGGTTATGGTGAGGGATGGTGGAGAGCAGCTGACACCCTCTTTATGATGTGAGGTGTTGTGCTGATGCCAGGAGGGAAGACATTACCATCAACCCGCTCTCATGCTCCTGGTGTCATGCTCCGGGTGTCATGCTCCGGGTATCATGCTCCGGGTATCATGCTCCGGGTGTCATACTCCAGGTATAACACAAAGGTTTATTCCACTTAACTAATGATATATGAATCACGTCTCTAATGGTACAAATGTGTTGTATTTTTTAATAAGTGTTCCCAGGTGACAATCTATATCCTTCCTACATTTCACGTGATTTGCAGAGAGTCGAGGCTTCAATCCCTGAAAATCCAATATTTCTCTTCATTCTGACATCTGGAGGGGCTGTAAAGGGAGGGAGGGGGGTGGAGGTGGAGAAAGGGATGGAGGAGGAAAAGGAAGAGTGAGGTGAGGGTAGATGAGGTGGAGTGTCAAGTTATACTGATTAGATTTCAAAATAAGGCTATTCTTGACGCTATGGTTGAGGGGGCCTACGACACGTCTCTTACTTAAATGATTGAATCTTTCTATAGAACATTGATAAGTATAACGTAAATTTATCCAGGAAGAAGAATAAAGTTACCATCGTTAAAATAAAGTTTTCATTAATGTTTTGGCGAGAGAGATAATTATTCTTTAGATCAGTGGTAGTGGGGGGGGGGAGGTGAGAGGTGAGGTATCTCTGTATCAAAACGTAGAGGAACATATAAGAACGTTGCTACTGACGATGCGATGAAGAACTCTGACGAGGCGGGTAATCCTGAGGAGCACAGAACCTAACACACTATGAACAAGACCCAGCCTAGAGGAAGTATTTTTTTCCCCAGAAGTAAAAAAAAAAAAAACCGTGTGTATCCAAGCTGATGGTCTGAGTCATCTCCATCTGTTTCCCAACGACCTATCGATGATAAGTGATCTGCTGCGCTAATGACAACGTGCGCTCATCTATGCCAGGTCAGGGGAAACGCGTCAGGGATTCTTATAGTGTAATATAACACACCACAGAACTCATCAACGCCTGGATATAATATTGAGGTCGTGGTAATGGATATATAATCACCTGTGTCCCCTTAACCCTCCTAAGCTACACACACACTACTCCTCTTGGCCTCCCAGCTCAGACAAACGTTCACATTCCCTTCGTTCATATGTTGAACTTGTTACCATCACCGTACACCATCACAACCAACAACAGTTCATAGAATCTTCACCAACTAGAGTTTAACCACCGTCAGGAACACAACAATGAGTGAGGGAGTACCTTACATTATTATTATCTGAAGAAGGGAATTGCCTTTCGTCGGATTTCCTGTCGCGTCGGGAGGCTTTGTGAGAGGGAGGAGAATTACCGGTGACGGGGCGCGGGGAGACTCCCATCAATCCTAGAGTGAAGTCTCGGTGGGGGGAGTTGAAAGACTCAAATCAGTGTCGTGTTCCTCCCATCGTTCAAGAGTGTAAGCTGAATTGGTGTTAGGGTTCGCCTTGATGCGCTACTCCTCTCCTCCTCTCCTCTCTTCTCCTCACACACACAACCCCCCCCCACACGCAACAACCTCCCCCCTCACACATAACTGCCCCCCTCACACCTTCCTCCCCCCCTCACACACACCGACTTTCCTCCCCCACACACACACATGTACTACAGCCTCATCATCTTCTTCCTTTACAACACTTAAGTCCAGCCTCAGCAACACCTCACGCAGGGCGAATAGGAGCCATCGTAATCCTAAACCATTCCTTCATCTCCATCAATCCTAATCCTAACTAATCCTAATCCTAACTAATTCTAATGCTAACTAATCCTAATCCTAACTAATCCTAATCCTAACTAATCATAATGCTAACTAATCCTAATCCTAACTAATCATAATGCTAACTAATCCTAATCCTAACTAATCCTAATGCTAACTAATCCTAACTAATCCTAATCCTAACTAATCCTTATCCTAACTAATCCTAATCCTAACTAATCCTAATCCTAACTAATCCTAATCCTAACTAATCCTCTTCCTAACCAATCATTTCTTTTTTATCTTACTGTCATTTTTATCATTTATTTATTTATTTTTAACCTGTTGGATTATTTCTCTTTTTTATTATTGTTTTTTTTTTATGATATGTACCACCGTCACATTACCTGTCTTCTACCACCTGTCTCACACCTCCCACCTGTCACACCTCCCACCTGTCACACCTCCCACCCGTCACACTCCCACCTGTCACACCTCCCACCTGTCACACACCATCCTCGTTACATACACACCACACATAAGGGCCACTTCTCTATTCATGTAAGATTCTCCTCCCTCCTCTTTCTCCATTATTCATCACGCCCTATTTTCTCTCATTCTACTTATTCTCTTATTGTATCTTTTCTTGTTTCTTCCGTTAGTCTCTCTCCTCATCCTTACTCTCTACCTCCCACTTCCTCTGTTATTCTGCCTTACGATCTTATTCTTCTCTCCTCCTTCCATCTTACTTCCTTTTCTCTCCCTTCCTCCTCGTCTCTTTCCGCTATTCCATCTTATTCTCTTGCCTTCCCTTCTAACCTACC